GCGGGGTCTCATTCACCCCTTCCCAACACATTGATGCTTTTTTTTTTTTTTTGTCGGTCATGGGACTTGAACTCAGGGCCTGGGCGCTGCCCTTCAGCCCTTATGCTCAAGGCCAGCGCTCTACCACTTGAACCCCAGAGCCACTTCCGGCTTTTTCTGCTTATATGGTACAGTGGAGTCGAACCCAGGGCCTCATGCAAGGTGAGCCCTGTACCACAGAGCCACCTTCCTAGCCGCTTTGATGCAGCAGGAGACCTGTCAGCAGAGGCCAGGCGTGCATGTTTCCTACCTGTGTCACAAACTGCGATTACATACCAGTTGTACAGGCGGTGGGGAGCAGCCTGCTGGGCCCGACGTGTGTCTCCTGAGCCATGTCTCAGGCTGTCATGGGCACCTGCCTGCCCCCTTGGTACATGGGGTTCCCAGATCAGCTCCTATACTAACCCGGCCTGACCCCTTCCAGTATTGGCCATGGAGTCCCTGTAAACTGTTGGGCTGCAGGGTTCAGAGGGTCCAGCTGCCCTAGAGCATGGCCCCCACGAGGGGTGGCCCCCTCCTTGCCCCTGCTGCTCTCAGGTGCTCCCAGCGAGGCTGTTGGCTCTCCTCCTAGTGGTGGGTGAAGGGCCTGTGGTTGCTGTCAGTGCCCTCACTTCTGTGTCCTTCCTGCCAGGGACACAGAACCTGCTTGTGTCCCCTCCATGATCTTTGCAGGGAATCCCAGTGGAGGGCCAGGTCATCAGACTGGTGACATCACATGGGGGTGTGTGTGGAGGAAGCTAGGGGAGCTGGAGGGGAGGGACGGGCCAGGTCTTGGCATTCTCCCAGGATCCTAACAGCCACAGCAACAGACAGGTGGAAAAGCTGGTATTCAGGGCTTTGAGGCCATGGTTTGGGGTCTGGTGAGGACATGCATGCCTCCTGTGCTCTGTAGCCAAGCAGTGGTGCCCTGCCTGCCCGTGCCTGCGCGTTCCCTGAGGGCACCGGCTGGCAGCGCAGGACCTGGCTTCTGTTCAGATCGCCTTTCTGCCTCCCAGGCTGGAGAGCCTCACAGATTGCTCTCTGAGTCTTGTGGTGAGAAGCGCTGCCTCTGCGCTGTTTCTAGGATGAAGGGGGGGGTGCAAAGACCCCAAGGCTGACCTGTCTCTGCCTACCCCAGAGACCCCACACAGCTGCCCTGCAGGGTAGATTTCCTCCCTTCCCTTCCCTTCCCTTCCCTGCCCCCCCCCCCCTTCAGTTGTGGGGCCTGAACTCTGGGCCTGGGTGCTGTCCCTCAGCTCTTCAGCTCAAGGCTAGCGCTCTGTCACTTGAGCCACAGCGCCACTTCCGGCTTTTTCTTTTTCTTTTTCTTTTTTGCCAGTCCTGGGCTTGAACTCTGGTCCTGGGCACTGCCCCTGAACTCTTCAGCTCAAGAAAAGCACTCTACCACTTGAGCCACAGTGCCACTTCTGGCTTTTTTTGCTTATGTGGTGCTGAGGAATTGAACCCAGGGCCTCATGCATGCAAGGCAAGCGCTCTACCACTGAGCCACCTTCCCAGCCCACTTCCAGCTTTTTCTGCTTATGTGTTTCTGAGGAATCGAATCCAGGGCCTCATGCCTGGGAGGCAAGCACTGTAGATTTCTGAGCAAGTGGAATGTGGAGGAACATCTGGAGTTCTCTCTTCTCTCCTCCATTTGGAAGCCAGGCTGGAAAGCGCCCTGGTGCCTTCTTCCCTGTCCGAGTGAGAGGAGAGGGCAGGGAACCTGAGTGTTCATCTGAGTCTCTGCCTTGTCCTCATTTCCAAGGCCACTGCTGCTTCCCCTGCAGCCCGATCGGTTCGCGCCGCAGGCTCTCCACGCCGCCACCGCCGCCTCTTTTTTTTTTTTGGTCCGGTCGTGGGGCCTTGAACTCTGGGCCTGGGCGCTGTCCCTCAGCTCTTCAGCTCAAGGCTAGCGCTCTACCACTTGAGCCACAGGGCCACTTCCAGCTTTTTTCTTTTTGCTTATGTGGTGCTGAGGAATCGAGCCCAGGGCCTTGAGCATGCAAGGCAAGTGCTCTACCACTGAGCCACCTTCCCAGCCCCATCATTGAGATAGTCTATATTGCATTCACTGACTTGGCTTTCTCTTGCTTCCACCTCCCCACGGCATACATCCCTGTACTTGGTTCACATTTGTAGTTTCTTTCCTGACTTTATTCATATTCTTTTTGTGGAGGTTGCCTGTGTAGTTACAGTTGGGTGTGTCAATCTTGTTCATCCCTCCCATGGTGGTGGTCCTAGGGCTTGAACTCGGAGCTCTCGTCTTCTTGCTTGTTTTCTTTTCTTTTTTTTCTCAAGGCTGGCACTCTACTACTTGAATCACAGTTCCACTTCTAGCTTTTTGCTGGTTAATTGGAGATAGGGGTCTCAGATTGTCCAGGCTGGCTTCAAACCTCAGTCCTCAGATCTCAGCCTCCTGAGGAGCTAGAATTCTAGGTAGGAGCCACTGGTGTCCGGTTCCTGCTTTGTTTCTGCCTGTAGCTTCATGCTTTACAAGATGTGACCATCGCAGTACTCATAGCAAGGGTGTTCAAGCTCTGCTCCATGTTCCTGTGACTTGAGTTCTGAGGCCTGGTGGAGTGGGGGGCTCACTCACATTCTGCTTCCCCTCTGATGTTCTTGAAGACCAGGGGTTCTGTGACTCCTCCGTCTGGAGTGCTCAGTCCGCTTCCCCATAAAGGCACAGCAGAAAGAAGCCACAGACTCATATTTTCAGACTTCCTGACTTCTTACCAATGCCATCAGATGAGCCTTTGTTATATCTTCTTTTTTTTTTTTTAATGTCGGTCATGGGGCTTGAACTCTGGTCCTGAGCGCTGTCCCTCAGCTCTTCAGCTCAAGGCGAGCGCTCTACCACTTTAGCTACAGCGCCACTTCCGATTTTCTGAGTGTTTATTGGAGATAAGAGTTTCACGGGGGCTGGGAAGGTGGCTCAGTGGTAGAGCGCTTGCCTTGCATGCCTGAGGCCCTGGGTTCAATTCCTCAGCACCACATAAACAAAAAGAAAAAAGCCGGAAGTGGCGCTGTGGCTCAAGTGGTAGAGCGCTAGCCTTGAGCTGAATTCAGAGCTGAGGGACAGCGCCCAGGCCCAGAGTTCAGGCCCCACAACCGGACCCAAAAAAAAAAAAAAAGTTTCACGGATTTTCCTGCCTGGGCTGGCCTTGAACCGCAATCCTCAGATCTCAGCCTCCTGAGTAGCTGGGATGACAGGCGAGAGCCACCAGCGCCCGGCACTGGGGGATTTTGATTAGTTGTGTGGAGGCAATAAGTGACCAGCCATGCTCCAGGGAGGTCTCCAAAAAGGAGGAGGCCTCTACCCCTGGCCCTTGGTGTATCAAGATCTTGATGCACAAAAAAGAATTTAAAGGCACAATGAGGTAGAGACCAAGGAAGTTTATTAGTGAAACAAGAAAGATAGTTCACAGTCCAGACATGGGTATGTGTATATTCAGTAAAAGGTGCAAAACTGTTTGATGTCACAGGTATGTATAGTGAAACAGAAGGCTGGGCTTCAGATAAGTGCTCTGGTACATTTCTTGATGTTACACTGTCTAATCAGCTGGGCCAGAGATTTTGAAGTTGGCCTGTAATACACCTGGTCCTTGCTGAATGGGCATCCTTTCAAACAGAGGAGGAATTATGCTGTACGCCCCTCAAGACAGGTGCCTTCCTTAAGATAGGCTTTATTATTTTTATTTGTTGTTGGTCCTGGAGCTTGAACTCTGGGCCTGGGTGCCTGTCCCTGAGCTCTTTCACTCTACCACTTTTGAGCCACAGTGCCACTTCTGGGTTTCTGGTGGTTCATTGAAGAGTCTCACAGACTTTCATGCCCAGGCTGGCTTTGAACCGAGATCCTCAGATCCCAGCTTCCTCAGTAGCCAGGATGACCGGTGCCTGGCTGATAAGATCATTGCTTAGTTTGCAAAGCAAACAGATTGTTTTGGGCAAGCAGGAGAGGCCTGGGGGAGAGAGCTGCTGTGCTTGTAACGGATACCGAAGCATACGAGGGGTGATAAGTGCTCACGTATATGTGTATCGTGTGTGTGTGTGTGTGTGTGTGTGTGTGTGTGTGTGTGTGTGTGTGTGTGTGTATATATATATCTTTTGCTGGTTGTGGGGCTTGAACTCAGGACTGGGTGCTGTCCCTAAGCCTCTTTGTGTTCAAGGCTAATGCTTTACCACTTGAGCCACAAGTCCGCTTCTGGCTTTTTCTGAGTGGTTTATTGGAGATAAGAGTCTCATGGACTTTTCTGCCTGGGCTGGCTTTGAACCGTGATCCTCAGATCTCAGCCTCCTGAGTAGCTGGGATTGCAGGTGTGAGCCACCAGCACCTAGCTCATGCTTAAGTATTTCTAATAGTGCTACTCAATACAGTGTGTGAATTCATGACTGCTGTTTCCCATGCTTCACTTTCCCTAATCTACCTTGACTCTGTTGTAGCTTGGGGGGTCATCCACCAGGGCCCTCTCTCCATTTATTTCCTCTTTGTGCCCACGCTGCATCTTGGGGATGTTGTGAGGACACCCCTGCACTGGCAGCTGGGCCCTCCTGGCCTGCTGCACCCCCAGCTCCTGTCTAAGGTCAGGGCTGAAGTCAGCCTCTGCTATGGGACCACTCTGCTGGGCCAGGAGCAGCCCGGGCTCCCGGGCTCTGTGGAGAGGGCAGAGGTAGGGCTAGCAGAAGGGACTGTGCTTGTCCAGGTGCCTGGGTCAGTGGTTCTGTGTAGCTCTGCTTTGCAAGACTTAGCACAGGGAGGAGAGGGGCGCAGCGTGTTGAGGGCTCTGGCCCTGCTGCCTTCATTTCCCCAGATGAATTCATTCAGATCCTTCATCAGAAAAGCACTCTCCTCGCCCCTGACAACAGGGGTGCATGGAGGGTAGGAGGCTGCGTCTTGGTTCGAGGCAGTGCCTAGGTGTGGGACTTAGGATGGCCTTGTGCCAGCCTGGAGCTCCTGCCTGACCCATGGATGTGTTGCTCCTCAGGGACCTCTCCCACAACCTGCTCCACACGCTGGACGCCGGGCTCCTGGCAAACCTCTCTGCGCTGGCGGAGCTGTGAGTGTCTTCCCTCCTGCCCAGTCCTGCTGGCCTGCGGGGGTGTCTCAGGGTACACAGGGCTACCTGCCCCTGCCTGTCACGTTACAGGGCTCCCGTCACACCACCGCCTCTTCCTCTTTTCCCAGGGATATAAGCGACAACAAGATTTCTACATTAGAAGAAGGAGTATTTGCTAATTTATTTAATTTAAGTGAAATGTGAGTTGCTTTGCTTTGGTGGGTATGGTGTCCCTGCCCTCCCGTCTTGGCCTGACTCTCGCTGGAGTTGGCGATCAGACCCTGCTCTCCTGCCGGCCTGTGCCCCAGCCCCGCCCTCCCTTGCAGAAACCTGAGTGGGAACCCATTCGAGTGCGACTGCAGCCTGCTATGGCTGCCGCGCTGGGTGGAGGAGCGGCGGGTCCGCGTGGCGCCGGCCAGGGTGGCCACGTGTGCTGGGCCCGGCCCCCTGGCTGGCCAGCCCCTCGGGGTCGCCTTGCTGAGTGGAGGCTGTGGTGAGTGCAGGGTGTGTGTGGCCTGCGCAGGGCAGTGTAGGCCTGGGGAGAGCCCTCCTTTCTGGGGATCAGAAAGGCCTCTCTGGAGAGGGGCAGGGCTGTGGGGTGGGGTCTGACCTGGAGTCGAGGGAGAGTGCCGGGACCACAAAGTAGACCGCGTGCGTGTCTGTCCTAGGTGAGGAGTACGTCGCCTGCCTCCCTGACAACAGCTCGGGCGCCCCGGCAGCGGTGGCCTTTTCCTCTGCCCACGAGGGCCCCCTGGAACCCGAGGCCTGTGGTGCGCTCTGCTTCTCAGCCGGCAAGGGCCTCGCAGCCCTGGCAGAGCAGGGCCGGTGTGTCTGCGGGGCACTCCAGCTGCCCAACACCTCTGCGGCCTGCCAGTCCCTGTGCTCCAGCCTCCTCCAGCCCCCCAGCCCCACCTGCAGCGGCCCCACGCTTCTCCAGAACGTCTTCCCAGCCTCCCCTGGGGCCACCCTGGTGGGGCCCCATGGACCCCTGGCCTCTGGTCGGCCAGCAGCCTTCCATATCGCTGCCCCTCTGCCCATCGGCTCCACACGCTGGGACTTTGGAGATGGCTCTCCAGGGGTGGGTGTGGCTGGCTCAGCTGCCACCCATCAATACGCACTGCCTGGACGCTATCACGTGACAGCCGTGCTGGTCATGGGGTCTTCCTCGGCCTTGCTGGGGACAGAGGTGCGCGTGGAGGCAGCCCCTGCTGCCCTGGAGCTCCTGTGCCCAGCCTCCCTGCACAGTGATGAGAGCCTCGAACTCAGCATCCGGAACCGCGGAGGCTCGGCCCTTGAGGCCACCTACACCATCCTGGCTCTGGATGAGGAGCCAGCGAGAGGTAGGTGCCTGCCTAGCTGCCTGGGCCCCTTGTCTCCCCTTTCCCCCAAGGTCAGGGCGAGGCAGAGCCTGGTGCTTTGGCCACAGGCTCATAGTGATGCCCTGTTCTCTGCTACTCTTCCCCAGTGGTACACCCGCTCTGCCCTTCGGACACAGAGATCTTCCCTGGCAGTGGGCACTGCTACCGCCTGGTGGCAGAGAAGGCACCCTGGCTGCAGGCTCAGGAACATTGCCGGACCTGGGCTGGGGCTGCCCTGGCCATGGTGGACAGCCCTGCCATCCAGCGCTTCCTGGTCTCCCAGGTTACCAGGTGCCTGCCCCGGCTCCCGGAAAGGCCACAGGCAGATGGGGGGTTTGCTCAGCATGCTGAGATGGTAGCAGAGCCTAAAGCTTGTGGAGGAGGAGAGATGGGGGCCGTGTCCTGCCCTGCAGACCTTCTCTGCAGCTTCCCGAAGCCCTGTGTGATGAATCAGGCCCCTGGCCCGTCCCCACCCATCATGGGAGGAGCCGAGCCCTGTTGACAGGGCCGTTCCCTGGGCCTCCCGGCAGCTGTGAGGCTGTGCTGCTGCTGTTTGTGGCTTCTTGCTCCCGTCCCGCCTGGAGTGGGCCAGGGCTGCTGTGTGCACTGGAGAGCACGTTGGGCTCCTGCTTTCTCCAGCCTTGTGGAGACGTGCAGTAGGCCAGGCCCTCATTCTGTGACTCCAGTTTTCTTGTTTGGGGTAGAGGTGGAGGTGAGACTTGACCAACCTCCTCGGGTCTCTGTGCTGGGTCAGAGCAGGGAAGGATGCCTATTATCTCAGAGGCTGATCATACCCTGTGCATTAGCAGGGGCCAGAGGGAATCTAGATCTCCAGTGCTGAGTTCTTCCCCAGGGCCATGTAATTAGTGGATGACATTGGCATGGAGATCTGGGGCCACAGCGTGCCCCTTCCCTGTGTCTTCACGTCTTCTTGGGCCTGTACTTCCAGGCAGGGCTCGCACCTCTGCAGAGGTGTCGGTTGCCTCCACTGGATGTCTTGGCCTCTGGAGACTGCAGCAGCAGCCTCCTTGCAGGCCACAGTGGGGGTGGCCTGGGCCCTCAGAGCTGAGGCAGAGCGTCAGAGCTCCTGCCTGTGCCCAGCGGCCCTGTAGGCATAAGCTGCCCAGTAGATGCGGCTGTGGGCTTGGATAGTGAGCCTTGCCTGCCGTGTCTGTTTCCCCATGTGGAGAATGAGGATGGTGGTAGGTTCCACCTGCCAGGGTGCTTGGAGGGGGCTGCCCATGAGGACTGCTGCTTGCTGAGTGGCCTACCCTCCCTGCTGTCTTCCTGCAGGGGCCTGGACGTGTGGATTGGATTCTCCTCTGTGGAGGGGGCAGAGGCGGGCTTGGCGCCCCAGGGCGAGGCCTTCAGCCTAGAGAGCTGCCAGAACTGGCTGCCAGGAGAGCCGCACCCAGCCACTGCCCAGCACTGTGTGCGCCTGGGCCCCGCTGGGCAGTGCAACACAGACCTGTGCTCCGCGCCCCACAGCTATGTCTGTGAGCTGCGGCCTGGAGGTGCGCGGGAGACAGGGTCACCGGTGCTGCTTCTCCCTGCATTTATCCTTCGATGTTCTGTGCTGGCTCTTACTCCTTGGATGAGGCTGTACCAGGAAACAAAACAGCAGATGGAGGGAGCTGGAGGGGGAGCTGCTGCGGGCTCAGCGGGGTCGGGCCGCCCTGGGTGTGCCCGCTGTCTCTCTGGCCTGGCCCTGGTGCCTTATTGCATACTCACCACCTCCAGGCCCCGTGTGGGATGCTGAGAACTTCCTCGAGGGAGTGCCTGATGGGGGCCTGCAGGGGCCCCTGAGGCCGCTGGCACGGCAGGAGGCCCTCCTGGCCCCTCAGCAGCCCTTGGAGGTAGGCCAGCCCTCTCTCAGCTAGAACTCCCGTGCCTCTCGGGCCTTGCCTTACCCAGCTGCTGTCTGTTTGAAAGTCAAGTTGGGGACTGGGGTGTGGCTCAATGGTAAGAGCACCTGCCTAGCATGTGCCAGGTCCTGGCACTGGGGGAACAAAGGCTGTCAGTGGCTGTAAATGCTAGCTTCTCAGGAGGCTGAGGATTGAGGTTCAAAGCCAGCCTGAGCAGGAAAAGTCCATGAGACTCTTACCTGCAATTAACCACCAAAAAGCCATAAATGAGCAAAAAGGCTAAGGGGCAGTACCTAGGCCCAGAGTTCAATCTTTAGTACTAGCACAAAAAAAAAAGCCAGGTGCTGGTGGCTCACGCGCCTGTCATCCTAGCTAATCAGGAGACTGAGATCTGAGGATCACGGTTCAAAGCCAGCCAACACAAGAAAATCCAATAAACCACCAGAAAACTGGAAGTAGCGCTGTGGCCCACGTGGTAGAGCGCTCGCTCGCCTTGAGCTGAAGAGCTGGAGGGACAGCGCCCAGGCCCAGAGTTCAAGCCCCATGACCGACAAAAGCAAAAAGAAAAAAATGATGTTGGTTTGGTTAGCAGAGGCTTCTTAAAGTTGTTTGTGCCCAGTGAAGACAGTTCAGAAAGTCCTTGGTGCACAAAGATGAGAGGCATCTAAGCATCGAATGCCCGCCCAGGGCCCCCGCACCGCTCCCGGGCCTCTGCTCTGTGCATTACACCTCCTAGGGACCCTACTGCTCCCAGAGGGTTTGGATCAGGTTTTTTCACTTCCCAAGTGACGTGAAATGAAGCTTGGGGGCTTCCTGGTGGTAGCTTCCCCAGGTGGGGTTGGGCCCTGGGGTGGGGTCTTGGTGCTGAGGCAGCCTCTCCCCACCAGCTCATAGTGTTGCCTGGCCCGAGCCGTGAAGCTTTTCTCACTGCAGCAGAATTTGGAATCCAGGAACTCGGGGGGCCTGCACAGCTGCGGCTGCAGGTGCTCCGGCCCTCAGGAGGAGTAGGTACGTCTCTGTGAAGGAGGTGGGAATTGGGGTTCAATTAGGCTAAGCCTCAAGAAGACAGCAGCGTCTCAGAGGTGCCAGCTCTTACTCTGCATGTCAGGGATGGAGTGGGTAGGGTGGCCCAGTGGCAAGAGTGTTGGTGTGGGCCGGGGCTCTACCTGATCAGGACTGGTCTTAATTAAGGTAGGGCCTACTGCTGGGTCAGGCCCCAAATACCTTCCTGTCTTTGTAGTAGCCCCAGAAAGTAGCAGTGAGCCTGAAAACGTGACTGAGCCAGGCCCCAGCTGTCTACTGGAGGAGCACTGGTGTCCTGGGGCCAATGTCTGTGTGCCAGTGGATGCCTCCTGCCACCCTCAAGCCCCTGCCAATGGGTCTGCATTGGGGCCCTGGCTCCCCGGGGTCACGTACACACTGTGGAGGGAGTTCTTGTTCTCGGTGCCCGCAGGTCCCCCCACGCGCTACTCGGTATGTGCCACCAGACTAGGCTTGTCTCCCTCTGATCAGCTCCTAGGCCACTCCCCCTTGTCACCCCACGGTTCCACCAGACAGTTCAAGCCCCCACCCCCTGCACCTCTTCCCTCCTCCAGCCTGCGTGGTCTTCCCCCTTCTCTCTGTAAGGGACAGCTGGCTTCTTTCTTCCTGTCCCTCAAGCCTTCCCATGGAGGGCAGCCTCATGCATATCTTCTTCGTCTGCACCGGCCTGTTGGTCATGCCTGAGCGCCCGGGGGTAGGCGCTGCACGCAGCCACCAGGAGCCCTGACTCCCCACTCGCCCCATGGGTTTTGCCCCGTGGTTCTTGCGCAGGCTCTTACTCTGGGGGTGTGATGGAGGCCTGTCTCCTCTCTCATAGGTCACCGTCCATGACCAGGACATCCTGGTGCTTCCTGGTGACCTCATCAGCTTGCAACATGACGCTGGCCCTGGTGCCCTACTGCAGTGTCCCTTGGGATCCAACCATCCCGGCCTTGAGGTTGTGTACTTCTCCACCAACACTTCCGTTTGGCTGGCCAGCCTGCCCGCCCAGGTGGAGGGGGCTCGGACTGGCCCTGCCTGTGCCCTGCAACTGCGCTTAGCCACAGAGCAGCTTACCGTGCTACTGGGCCTGAGGCCCAATCCTGGGCTGCAGCGTCCTGGGCGCTACAAGGTTCAGGCCACAGTGGGCAACAGCGTGTCCAGTCACAACCTGTCCTGTGGCTTCAGTGTGGTCTCCCCGCTGACGGGGCTGCACGTCATCCACCCCGCCCTCCTTGATGGCCACCTCTACATACCCACCAATGGCTCGGTCTTGGTGCTTCAGGTGGATTCTGGTGCCAGTGCCACAGCCACAGCCAGCTGGCCCGGGGGCAACATTACTGCCCCCTTCGAGGCTGCCTGCCCCTCTGAGGGGGCTACCTTCCAGCCTGACTGCACAGGAGAGGCCAATCGCACCTGGTTCTCGGTGCTGGCCCTGCCCCGGCTCAGCGAGGGGGAGCACGCAGTGGAGATTGTAGCCCAGAACCATGACAGCCGGGCCAACCTCAGCCTGAGGGTGACTGCTGAGGAGCCCATCTGCGGCCTCCGAGCCGTGCCCAGCCCTGAGGCCCGGGTGCTGCAGGGTGTTCTGGTGGTGAGTGTGTCCTTTCCCCGCCCCTCCATCCTCCATGGTGTGCACGGGTGGGGACAGGCAGGGAGCCTCCACAGGAAGGGAGCCACACGGATGTTTCTGGAGAGGTTCAGTAGGGTCTGGCAGGTCCTTTCAGGGCCCTGCAGGTGACGTACTCACTTTCCCACGTAGCACTGCGCTTCCACCTGAGGGACTCCGTGGAGCCTGGGATGGGAGCTGGGGAGGACTCCAGAGGCAGGCGGACTCTTGCTGGGCCTGGGCCCACTTTGCAGATGCAGAAAGGGAGGCACAGGGAGGCCAAGGCCACGTGACAAGGTGGAAAGCTGACTTTGATCAGGGCCTTGGTACCTAAGCATGAGCTGGTGTTACAGGACAGACGCCAAGATGGCCTGGCCCCTCTGCCCGTCCCTATACAGGGTAACTTGTCACCGCTTAGCTAGTGGCCCTCATGTCCCCTCCGCTCTTCAGGAACTCTGAGGGTGGCAAGTCCAGGTAGGCAGATTGCGGCTGAGGGTAAAGCCAGCCTCAGAGTAGGGCAGAGTCACAGCCTGGGCCCATGCCATGTCCACCCACAGCGGTACAGCCCCATGGTAGAGTCTGGCTCAGACGTGGTCTTCCGGTGGACCATCGATGACAAGCAGTCCCTGACCTTCCACAACGTCGTCTTCAACGTCATCTACCAGAGTGCCGCCGTCTTCAAGCTCTCAGTAGGCTGGGGTCGGGTGGGGACTGGGGGTGCTGGGATGTGAGGGTGCTCACCTTTGCCTTCTCTTCTTCTTTGCTTTGCCCTCGAGGACCCTGCTGTGGCTGTGGGTGAGTGTGGACCGGCGGTGTGAATCGGGGCTCTGGGCTCTTTGCTTGTTGGTCTGTCCTTGTGGTTGCCTCTGGCCCCATGTCTACCGAGCCCTGTCTTCTCTTCTCAGCTGACAGCCTCCAATCACGTGAGCAATGTCACCGTGAACTACAACGTCTCCGTGGAGCGGATGAACAGGATGCGGGGTCTTCGAGTATCTGCGGTGCCAGCCGTGCTGCCCCTCAATGCCACGCTGGAGCTGATGGCCAGTGTGCTGGTGGACGCGGCGGTGGAGGTGGCCTTCCTGTGAGTGCCGCTGGGCTTGCTGGGAGGCATCGCCAGCCAGGCAGGGCCTGGTAGGGGCTGGGATTCCAGCGTTGGCCTTGGGGTCCCGGTGGAGAAGTTGAGAGCTGCTCTTTTTTTGAAGTCTTAGCAAGGATTTATTTTAGTGTAACAAGTTTAAAAGGGAGAAATAGAAGAGACAGGGAGAGTGGCTTTCTGGGTCCTTGTTTCCTCCACACTAAGAGGCTGCTGCACGGGGATCTCGCAGGCGCGCGGCGGGGTAGAGAGGCAGCTGTGCTCAGCCACAGGAACGCCTGCAGGGAGCTGCGGCTGGGACTCACGGCTCCCCACTGTGTGTGAGCAGCCAGCCTGGCCGCCTGCCCCTCCCTGGTACACTGACCACCTGCCCACTGCCCGGCAGGTGGACCTTTGGAGATGGCGAGCAGGTGGTTGGCCAGTTCAAGCCTCCGTACGGTGAGGCCTTCCAGGTCCCAGACCCCACGGTGGCCCAGGTGCTGGTGGAGCACAACGCCACACACACCTATGCCAGCCCAGGTGAGCAGCTGGCCCTCTCCTGGGGGTGGCATACCCGAGAGGGGCCCTCATCTCCCCACTCTGACTGACCCCGCCTGGGGTGCCACCGAGGCCTTTACGCAGTCGAAGGGGTGTGTGGAGGGATGGGCCGTCCCAGTTGAATTTTCCAGAAGTTAGAAGAGGGTCGTCATTTAACGTGTAAAGTTCTAGCCGCCTCACATGGTGCTGGCCCGTGTCCCACGGGGAATAGCCCGCCGCCCCGCGCGTGCTCTGCACGGCCAGGCCCAGGAATGCCCCATCCTCTCAGCACAGCCTGGGCTGGGTGCCGGGCGGGGATCCTGTGCGCAGGACGCTGCACGTGGGCCTCTCCACAGGTGAGTACAACCTGACCGTCCTCGCGTCCAACACCTACGAGAACCTGACCCAGCAGGTGCCTGTGAGCGTGCGCCCCGCGCTGCCCAGCCTGGCCGTGGGAGCGAGCCGCAGCGTGCTGGTGGTGGGCCAGCTCGTCACCTTCTCCCCGCACCCTCGGCCCTCGTCTGGCGGCATCCTGTACACGTGGGACTTTGGGGATGGCTCCCCTCGCCTGGTGCAGAGCCAGCCAGCTGTGAACCACACCTACCTCCACCCCGGCACCTACCGCGTCAGCCTGGAGGTGAACAACACCGTGAGCAGCGTGGGGGCGCACACCGATGTCCACGTCTTCCGGGAGCTGCATGGCCTGAGCGTGCACCTGAGCCCAGCGGTGGAGCAGGGAGCCCCTGTGGCGGTGCATGCGGCCGTAGAGACGGGTGACAACGTGACGTGGACATTCGACATGGGGGATGGCACCATGTTCACGGGCCCCGAGCCCACGGTGCAGCATGTGTACTTGCGGGCACAAAACTATACAGTGACAGTGGTTGCAGCCAGTCCTGCAGGCCAGCTGACACAGAGCCTGCCCGTGCAGGTCTTTGTCCTGGAGGTGCTGCGCATTGAGCCTGCCGCCTGCATCCCCGTCCAGCCCGAAGCCCGCCTCACAGCTCATGTCACCGGGGACCCTGCCCACTACCTCTTTGACTGGACCTTTGGGGATGGCTCCTCTAACATCACTGTCCAGGGGCGCCCGACGGTGACGCACAACTTCACGCGGAGTGGCACGTTCCCCCTAGCGCTGGTCCTGTCGAGCCGTGTGAACAAGGCGCATTACTTCACCAGCATCTGTGTGGAGCCCGAGCTGGGCAACGTCACTCTGCAGCCCGAGCGGCAGTTTGTACGGCTCGGGGACGCGGCCCGCTTGGCGGCCTGCGCCTGGCCCCCATTCCCATACCACTACATCTGGGACTTTGGCACGGAAGGCGCCACCCCCACCCAAGCTGGGTGCCCCGACGTTGCGTTCACCTACCGAGAGCCCGGCTCCTACATGGTGACAGTCACTGCCACCAACAATGTCTCAGCTGCCAACGCGTCCGCGCGGGTGGAAGTGCAGGAGCCGGTGGACATCTCCGCCATCGGCGTCAATGGCTCCCACGTGCTGGAGATGGGGCGGCCCTACCTGTTCTCCGCTGAGGGCCGTGGGCACCCCGCTACCTACTCCTGGGAGCTGGGGGATGGGGCTCAGCTCGAGGGCCCCGAGGTCACCCACACCTACAGCAGCACAGGCGGCTTCACCATCGCAGTGGCCGGCTGGAATGAGGTGAGCCGCAGTGAGGCCCGGCGCAACGTCACCGTGCAGCAGCGCATCGAGGGGCTCGGCGTGAACGCCAGCCGCACGGTGGTGCCCCTGAACGGCAGCGTGAGCTTCGGCACCTCGCTGGGGGCGGGCAGCGACGTGCGCTACTCCTGGGTGCTCTGCGACCGCTGCACGCCCATCCCCGGGGGGCCCACCATCTCCTACACCTTCCGCTCCGTGGGGACCTTCAACATCACTGTCACCGCCGAGAACGAGGTGGGTGCCGCGCAGGACAGCATCTTCATCTACGTTCTCCAGCTCATCGAGGGGCTGCAGGTGGTGGGGGGCGGCGGGGGCTGCTGCTTCCCCACCAACCACACGCTGCAGCTGCAGGCCGCTGTCAGGGATGGCACCAACATCTCCTACAGCTGGACTGCACAGCGGGATGGGGGCCCACCCCTGACAGGCAGCGGCAAGGGCTTCTCCCTCACGGTGCTTGAAGCTAGCACCTACCGCATCCAGCTGCGGGCCACCAACATGCTGGGCAGTGCCTCCGCCAACCGCACCGTGGAGTTTGTGGAGCCTGTGGGGTGGCTGGGCGTGACTGCCTCCCCCAACCCGGCTGCCGTCAACACGAGCGTCGCTCTCCACGCTGAGCTGGCCAGTGGCAGCGGGGTCGTCTACACGTGGTCCGTGGAGGACGGGCTGAGCTGGGAGACATGGAAGCCGTCTACCACTCACGCCTTTTCCTCAGCTGGCCTGCACCTGGTCAGCGTCGTGGCTGGGAACCAGCTGGGCTCAGCCAACGCCACCGTCGAGGTGGCCGTGCAGGTGCCTGTGAGCGGCCTCAGCATCAGGGCTGGCGAGCTGGACAGCGGCTTTGTGGCAGCGGGGTCCTCTGTGTCCTTCTGGGGGCAGCTGGCAGCGGGCACAGATGTGAGCTGGCGCTGGTCTGTGCTGGGTGGCAGCAAGCATGGCCAGCGCATAGCCCTGAGCTTCCCGGACGCGGGCACCTTCTCTGTGCAGCTCAACGCCTCCAACGCCGTCAGCTGGGTGGCAGCTGCGCACACGCTCACGGTGGAGGAGCCCGTCGTGGGCCTGGCGCTGTGGGCCAGCAGCAAGGTGGTGGCGCCCGGGCAGCCTGTGCACTTCCAGATCCTGCTGGCCGCCGGCTCAGCCGTCAGCTTCTACCTGCAGGCTGGCGGGGCCGGCCCCGAGCCGCTCCCCACCCCCCACTTCTCCCGCAGCTTCTCCTGGGTGGGTGAGCATGTGGTGAGCGTGCAGGCTGAGAACCATGTGAGCCGGGCCCAGGCCCAGGTTCGAATCTTAGTGCTGGAGGCCATCAGTGGGCTACACGTGCTCAACTGCTGCGAGCCTGGCATCGCTACAGGCACCGAGAAGAACTTCACGGCCCGGGTGCGGCGCGGCTCCCGGGTCGCCTATGCCTGGTACTTCTCCCTGCAGAAGGTCCAGGGCGATTCGCTCGTCATTCTTTCTGGCCGCGACGTCACCTACACCCCGGTGGCCGCTGGGCTGCTGGAGATCCACCTGCGGGCCTTCAACGAGCTGGGCAGTGTGAACCTCACGCTGACCATGGAGGTCCAGGATGTCATCCAGTACGTGGCTCTCGAGAGTGGCCGCTGCTTCACCAACCGCTCCGCCCGATTTGAGGCAGCCACAAGCCCTAGCCCCCGGCGAGTAGCCTACCGCTGGGACTTCGGGGATGGGGCCCCAGTGCAGTACACAGAGGAGCCCTGGGCCGCCCACACCTACCTGCAGCCCGGGGACTACCGCGTGGAGGTGAATGCCACCAACCTGGTGAGCTTCTTTGTGGCCCAGGCCGCCGTGACTGTCCAGGTGCTGGCCTGCAGGGAGCCTGAGGTGGGCGTGGCCCTGCCCTCGCAGGTGCTGATGCGCCGCTCGCAGCGCAACTACCTGGAGGCGCACGTGGACCTGCGCGACTGCGTCACTTACCAGGCCCAGTACCGCTGGGAGGTGTACCGCGCCGCCAGCTGCCAGCGGCTAGGGCATCCGGCACGCGTGGCCCTGCCTGGCGTGGACGTGAGCCGGCCCCAGCTGGTGGTGCCACGGTTGGCGCTGCCTGTGGGCCACTACTGCTTTGTGTTCGTGGTGTCGCTCGGGGACACGCCACTGGTGCAGAGCATTCAGGCCAACGTGACCGTGGCCGCCGAGCGTCTGGTTCCCATCATCGAGGGCGGCTGGTACCGCGTGTGGTCTGACACCCAGGACCTTGTGCTAGACGGGAGCAAATCCTACGACCCGAACCTGGAGGACGGCGACCAGACGCCGCTCAGCTTCCACTGGGCCTGTGTGGCCTCCACCCAGGTCAGCCGCGTGCAGGGAGGGTTGGGCCTCACGTACCCAGTCTCAGGCGCTGCCCTGGGCCGGGTGTTAGTGCTCATGTGGGGAGGTGGTCTTGTCTCTGGAGCTGTCCCCTGGGGCCAGGTTCTGCCAGGGTCCTGGACCACCATGCTTCTCCTTTGTCTGCTGCAGAGCGAGGCTGGCGCGTGTGTGTTGAACTTTGGTCCCCGTGGGAGCAGCACGGTCACCATTGCCCGGGAGCGCCTGGGGGCGGGTGTGGAGTACACCTTCAGCCTCACCGTGTGGAAGGCGGGCCGGAAGGAGGAGTCTGCCAACCAGACGGTGCGTGCCGTGCCTGCCTGCCCCACTCCCATCAGGCTTTCTGGGCCGGGGTGCTCTTCGGACTGAGAACTCGATTCTCACGTGGTTCTGATCTCCACATGAAATACTTGGCGCTCACACTCAGTCTGTCAGAAGCAGGACGTGGTTCCTTAGGCACGCTGCGAGGCCGCTGCTGTGCGGGGCGGCCGCCCTGTGCGTGGTTAGGCTACATCTCCCCTTCCTTTTCCTAGCGGGGAGCCACGCCACGCCTGCTGCTGTGGAAGGGGCCCTGCCTGGGTGTGGTGCCCCGCCACAGGGCCGTCCCTCTGAGCCAGGCCTTCCCCTGCCTGGCCCGCCTGCTCAGGGGAGGTACCCGGGCTCCTCTGGGCGCCAGGGCCCTGCTCGGCCATAGAAACTCCTGGGTGCAGAGGGCTTTCCACCCCTTGCATGGGTGCCTTGCTTCCTTCCAGCATCTGTTTCTGGAACCTTCCTAAGTGTGCCCTGTGCCTGCCGTTGTGGGCCCTGGGGCTGCACACTGCACACGGCAGGCGGCTCTGCCATGGGAGGACCGGCCCCTCCCCGCACTGGCATTTCCACTGGATGCAGGAGGCCTTCCCCAGAGCCCGAGCCCGGGGTGCAGAGGCTCTCCCTTGGGCTGGCGGGGATGGACGAGGCCTCCCTGTGCCCCGCCCGCCCCAGGTGCTGATCCGCAGTGGCCGGGTGCCCATCGTGTCCCTGGAGTGCGTGTCCTGCAAGGCGCAGGCTGTGTACGAAGTGAGCCGCAGCTCCTACGTGTACTTGGAGGGTCGCTGTCAGAACTGTAGCAACGGCTCCAAGCGCGGGGTGAGTGGCAGGGAGAGGGGCCTGGGGGGGCGGGGTGGAGGGGGCGGGCCCGCATGCACCGTCCCACGCTCCCGCCCTCAGCGCTGGGCCGCGCGCACCTTCAGCAACAAGACACTGGTGTTGGATGAGACGACCACGTCCACGGGCGGCGCGGGCATGCGGCTGGTGGTGCGGCAGGGCGCGCTGCGGGACGGCGAGGGCTACACCTTCACGCTCACTGTGCTGGACCGCACCGGGGAGGAGGAGGGCTGCGCCTCCATCCGCCTCTCCCCCAACCGCCCTCCGCTCGGGGGCTCCTGCCGCCTCTCCCCGCTGGAGGCCGTGCGGGCCCTCACCACCAAGGTGCACTTCGAATGCACGGGTGAGTGGGGCTCCGGGGGGAGGCGGGCGTGGGGCGGCGCTGCTCCTGACGCCGCCGCGTGTCTGCAGGCTGGCGGGACGCCGAGGACGCCAGTGCCCCCCTGGTGTACGCCCTGCTCCTGCGGCGCTGCCGCCGCGGCTACTGTGAGAACTTCTGCGTCTACAAGGGTAGCCTCCCGGCCTACGGGGCCGTCCTGCCGCCTGGCTTCGGGCCACACTTTGAGGTGGGCCTGGCTGTGGTGGTGCAGGACCAGCTGGGCGCTGCCGTGGTGGCACTCAACAGGTGAGTTGCGCCCGGGGAGGGGAGATGGCGTGCCCGCCGCCTGCTCACCTCGCCGCCTGCCTCTGTCGTGCAGGTCTTTGGCCATTATCCTTCCTGAGCCCAACGGTAGCTCGGCGGGCCTGGCTCCCTGGCTGCACAGCCTGGCGGCCAGCGTGCTGCCTGGGCTGCTGCGGCAGGCTGACCCGCAGCACGTCATCGAGTACTCCCTGGCCCTTGTCACTGTGCTCAATGAGGTCAGTAAGGGTGGGCGGGGACAGCGATCCCTCACGCTGGGCACTCTGATGCCAGCTGCCCACAGCCCCACCACCGCGTGGGGATGCCGGGTGTCCTGAGCATGCCCCTTTTGGCCTTTGAGGAAACAATGCAGCGCTGTGTGCCCCTGCCCCTGGCGGCCAGCAGGGGACCAGGCATACTCTGCTCTCCATGGAGCGGCCCACCCTGCCCTGCCCTGCCCTGCCCTGCCCCGCTCACAGCTCCCCTTTGCTCACTGCCCACCCCAGTATGAGCAGGCCCCGGACGCAGGAGTGGAGCCCAGCCACCAGCGGCAGATGCGAGCCCAGGTGCGCAAGAACATCACGGAGACGCTGGTTTCACTGCGGGTCCACACCGTGGACGACATCCAGCAGATCACGGCCGCGCTGGCCCAGTGCATGGTAAGACAGCAGGCTCACCGTGCCCGCCAGGCCTCCGGCCCTGTAGCCTCAGCCAGGCCTCCGGCCCTGGAGTGTTTTTCCTGGCCTGTGCTAGCGCTCCGGACCCCCTGATGCTACCCAGCGGCAGCCTACAGCGCCCCCTCCGGGAGCCTGCAGGTGGGAAGAGCAGCTCAGCATATGGGGGGGAGGGGGATGGCGGGGGGGGGGGGTGGCGGCATCGGACACAAAGATCCTGTCTGGGCCTCCTCTCAGGCCTGCAGTCACACCCTGACACCTGATGTGGCCTTGTCCAACACGAGCTGTCCACTGCTCAAATTCTCAGCAGTACAGGCTGATGGGTGGGGGCAGCTGCTGAGTGCAGTGGGGGGGCTCGCTGGGAGGGCAGGAAGAAGCAGAGCCTTGGGGTGGGCGTGCTGTTCCCATGGGGTCCTGTGGCTCAACAGCTGTCAGTTGTGTGAAAAGATGGCACTGAGTCCCCGGGACAGGGTTCTTCCCGGGGTCGGGAGGAGCACAGGGAAGTTGCCGACCGGCCGGGTCCGGAAGTTGTGCTGGGACCTGCGCAGGTGGCCAGCAGGGAGCTCATGTGCCGCTCGTGCCTGAAGAAGGTGCTGCACAAGCTGGAGGACATGATGCGCATTCTGCGGGCCGAGACCACCCAGGGCACCGCGACGCCCACCACCATCGCCGACAGCATCCTCAACATCACAGGTGGGCGAGCCCCGCCGGCCTCCCCCTGCTCCCAGACGCCGGCCACCGCTCACGCACGCCCTCCCCCCCCCCCCCCCGTGCCCATCTGCAGGGGACCTCATCCACCTGGCCAGCTCTGACGTGCAGGCCCTGCAGCCCTTGGAACTGGGGGCCGAGCCGCCCTCACCCATGGTGGCATCCAAGGCTTACAACCTGTCTTCGGCGCTCATGTGCATCCTCATGCGCTCCCGCGTGCTCAACGAGGAGCCTCTGACCCTGTCTGGGGAGGAGATCGTGGCCCAGGGCAAGCGCTCGGACCCCAGGAGCCTGCTGTGCTACGGCAACACGTCCACGTCCGGCTGCCACTTCTCCATCCCCGAGGCCTTCAGCGGCGCCCTCTCGAACGTCAGCGATGTGGTGCAGCTCATCATCCTCATGGACTCCAACCCCTTCCCCTTCGGCTACATCAACAACTACACGGTCTCCACCAAGGTGGCGTCCATGGCCCTCCAGACACAGGCCGGCACCCAGATCCCCATAGAACGGCTCGCCACGGAGCGCGCCATCACGGTCAAAGTGCCCAGCAACTCAGACCAGGTCGCCCAGAGCATGCGCACCCCAGCAGGCTCCACCGTCGTGCAGCCCCGGGCCTCGGTCAGTGCCGTGGTTACCCCAGACGACAGCAACCCCCAGGCTGGGCTGCACCTGCAGCTCACCTACACCGTGCTCAATGGTGGGTGCCGTGGCTGGGCACACACACTGCCCGCCCTCTTCCCAGCCCCTTCCCTGGGTGGGGGGGGAGGTCCCTGGTCACATCTGCTGTGGGGGCCCGGGGTGTCCCGCCAGAAGGCCAGTGAGGAGCCACAGAGAAGCTCGTGCTGCCCCAGGCCCCTGACAGAGCTGCAGGGTTTCCCGATGGTGGCCGGCGTTGGGGGTGGGCAGCTGACACCGCATGTCGCCCCCAGAGCGCTACCTGTCTGAGGAGCCCGAGCCCTACCTGGCTGTGTACCTGCACTCGGCGCCCCGGCCCAACGAGTACAACTGCTCTGCGGACAGGAGGATCAGCCTGGAGGCACTCAGAGGCGCCGACCACCGGCTCTACACCTTCTTCATCGCCCCGGGGTGAGCGCCTGCAGAGGCCCAGGAGTGGGCCCGGACAGCTGGCCACGGTGGGCTGTTTTGGGCACAGGCGTGTGTGTGGCTCTGTCGGACGCCTGGAGAGCTGGCCGGGCGAGGCAGCTGAGGGCAGAGTGCCCTCCGCCGGGACGCCCGAAGCCTGGCCCTGACCCTGCCCCTTCCTGGCAGGGCCCGGGCCCCCGGGGGGAGCTACCACCTGAACCTGACCAGCCACTTCCACTGGTCGCCGCTGGAGGTGTCCATAGGGCTGTACACGGCCCTGTGCCAGTACTTCAGTGAGGAGGACATGATGTGGAGGACGGAGGGGCTCGCGCCGCTGGAGGAGACCTCGCCCCGCCAGGCCGTGTGCCTCACGCGCCACCTCACGGCGTTCGGCGCCAGCCTCTTCGTGCCCCCCAGCCGCGTCCGCTTCATCTTTCCCGTGAGTGGCCCTCCCGTCCCCGCGCTCTCCACTCCTTTGTCCACAGCGGGTGGTGCAGGCCGCGGGACGGGGCTTCGTGGTTCTCTCTTCCCAGGAGCCATCGATGGGTGTGAACTATGTCGTCTTGTTGACGTGTGCCATGTGCCTGGTGACCTACGCAGCCATGGCTGTGGTCCTGCATAAGTTAGACCAGCTGGATGTCCGCCGGGTCCGCGCCATCCCATTCTGTGGGAAGGGGGGCCGCTTCAAGTATGAGATCCTGGTCAAGACTGGCTGGGGCCGAGGCTCAGGTGAGGGGACGTGGCCGTGGCGGTCCTGGGCGTCCACCCTGCCCCAGCTTTTTGACTATCCATTTTCCAGAAGCACCACAGGAGCTGGTGCTGGTGGCTCACGCATGACATCCTAGTTTCCTGGGGCTGAGGTCTGAGGTTTGCAGTTCAAAACCAGTATGGGCAGGGAAGTCCTGAAGCTCCTTTTAACTGAGCAAAACCTAGAGGTGGAGGTGTGCTACTAGCACCAACCCTGAGCTGGTTTTGAACTGTGCCCCGGCCCTGAGTTCAAGCCCAATGACCAGCACAAAAGCCATGTTGGCTCTCACTGGGAGAGGAGACGCACGCAGTCCCTCCACGGCAGGCCAGGGCTGCGTCTCAGACCGTGCTGTGCGGGGCTCGGGGCTCGGGAGCGGCGCCAGGCTTATATGCCAGCATCGCCGGGAGTCGGCATGCACCCCGTGGCAGCTGAAAGCTGACAGATGTTGGGCTGTGGCATTGGGCTGGTGATGGTTCCGTGAACTGAGAAAGCCTGAGTGTGCGTCCGTCACCGCTGCAGAGCAGGGGCTGCTGGTGCTTGGCGAATGGAGGTTGGCAGACAGAAAAGCTTGCCTGGTCTCGAGCAGCGGGCAGAAGACCAGGCTCTTGCTCCTCCCTCCTGCAGGTACCACGGCCCACGTGGGCATCATGCTGTACGGTGCGGACAGCCAGAGTGGCCACCGGCACCTGGATGGGGACAGAGCCTTCCACCGGAACAGCCTGGACGTCTTCCAGATCGCCACCCCACGCAGCCTGGGCAGCCTGTGGAAGATTCGAGTGTGGCATGACAACAAAGGTCCGGGTGGGGGCCAGTGCCGCCCTTGCGCCCGCCGGCCACCCCGGCCTCACCGTGTGTCCCCCGTGCAGGCCTGAGCCCCGCCTGGTTCCTGCAGCATGTCATCGTCCGCGACCTGCAGAGCGCCCGCAGCACCTTCTTTCTGGTCAACGACTGGCTGTCTGTGGAGACTGAGGCCAATGGGGGCCTGGTGGAGAAGGAGGTGCTGGCAGCAAGTAAGGCCCTCTACCCACCAGGGGCGGGGCCCACCCTCCCCGCCGCTGCCCCTCCCCCTCCCCGCCGCTGCCCCTCCCCCTCCCCGCCGCTACCCCTCCCTCCCTCTCCCCAGGTGACGAAGCCCTGTGGCGTTTCCGGCGCCTCCTGGTGGCAGAGCTGCAGTGTGGCTTCTTTGACAAGCACATCTGGCTCTCCGTGTGGGACCGGCCGCCACGCAGCCGCTTCACACGTGTCCAGAGGGCCACATGCTGCGCCCTCCTCCTCTGCCTCTTCCTGGGCGCCAATGCCGTGTGGTACGGGGTCGTGGGAGATGTCACCCACAGGTAGGTGCTGTGGGGTAGGTGATGCGGCCTTCTTGCCAACTCTTCTGCCCCTCTAGCCTCCTCACGCCTGGATCTCCCCTCCTGCCCTAGTGTGGGGCCCGTGTCCAGCCTGGTCCCCCCCAGCGCTGATGCCGTCGCTGTTGGCCTGGTGTCCAGCGTGGTCGTCTACCCTGTCTACCTGGCTGTCCTGTTCTTCTTCCGCATGTCTCGGAGCAAGGTGGGCTGGGCCAGGTCAGGGCTGCTGGGTCCAGGGTGGTCCCGGGTGGCCCTGTCACCCAGCCACTGGGAGTGCAGTGCGGCAGCCCCCGGGAGACCACAGGCCAGAGCAGGCCCCTTGGAAGCGTCCACAAAACCAGCAAGCCTAAAAGGACATGGATGAGAAACAGTTCTCAGAGCCATGCGCCAGTGGCTCACACCTGTCATCCTAACTGCTCAGGAGGCTGAGATCTGAGGATTGTGGTTCAAGGCCAGCCTGGGCAGGAAAGTTTGTGAGATTTGCCTCCGATTCACCATACAAAAGCTGGAAGTGAAGCTTTGGCTCAAGTGGTAGAGCGCTAGCCTTGGGCAAAAAAAGCTAAGGGACAGCGCCCAGGTCCTGAGTTCAAGCCCTAGAAAGCACGTGTGTGTGAGCACACACGCGCGCACACACACACGCCAAAATAGTGAAAGAGAGGCCACCTCGTGGGTTCCCCTGCAGACACTGACTAGGTTCTGAAGACCATGCACAAGCTGCATGCTGAGCATGCTCGGGCAAGGGCGGAAGACCCTGCTGGGAAGGCAATCTGCGGAGAGCAGATGTCCCAAGGACGTAAATATGCGTAAAGAGGGCGCGTCGTGATGCAGAAGCCGTGCACAGGGAAAAGCCAGGCCTGGCTGGTGAATTCCAGCAAACCGTTCAGCTCCCCCAAAACACAGGAGGCGAGCCTTCCGAGCTCGTGCGAGGCCAACACTGCCCTCGGCCACCAGGTGGCCACCGCAGAGCCGCGCACACGCCCGGGCCCCTGGCGCCCCAGGAAGGCTATGCACCAAGGCCAAGAGGGATGTTCCAGGGGTGCATGGCGGTCACGTGCCGTGGGTGGCGGTTTACACACGTGAAGGGTGATTGTGCTGGGAGTAGCCTCTATCTAGTGCATGGCTCTGAATTCAGCCCGGGTACTGCCAGAAAGAAAGGAATTAGAGCTAAGTCATTCATTGAAGAACTTTTTTAAGACTGGCAGCAGGTTTGAACTCGACCTTGTGACTGCCTGCTTTGGTTGCTTGTGGCGTGTGTGCTCTACCACTTAAGCCATGCCTCCGTATCCTCAGTACTACTTCGTGATTGGTATTTGTGTGCGCGCGCGCATGCGAGTCCTCAGGCTTGAACTCAGGGCCTGGGCGCTGTCTCTGAGCTTTATTGCTCAGTGCTAGTGTTTTGCCACTTGAGCCACAGCTCCACTTCTTTTTTTTTTTTTTTTTTGGGTCCGGTCATGGAGCCTGAACTCTGGGCCTGGGCGCTGTCCCTCAGCTCAAGGCTAGTGCTTTACCACTTGAGCCATAGCGCCACTTCCGGCTTTTTTCTTTTTGCGTATGTTGTGGGCCTCAGGCATGCAAGGCAAGCGCTCTACCATTGAGCTACCTTCCCAGCCCCCACTTCTGGTTTTTTGGTGGTTCATTGGAGATAAGAGTCTCATGGACTTTTGTGCCCAGTTGGCTTCAAACATCGATCCTCAGATCTTAGCCTCCTGAGTAGCTAGGATGACAGGTGCCAGCTTTTTTGCTTATTTTGGAGATGAAGTCTAATGGCCTTTTCTACCCACGCTGGCCTTGACCTGCAGTCCTCTGTACTTCGGCCTCAGTAGCTAGGATTACAAGCCTGAGCCACCAGCGCCTCTCTTGCTGCCTCTTGCTGAGCACCTGGCCTCCCCCTGCAGGTGGTCGGAGGCCCAGGCCCCACCCGCCCAGGGCAGCCCGCACTGGACACCGACAGTTTCCTGGGCTCACCCGTGCTGAACGGCTCCTTCTTCACGCTGTCGGCGCTCCGGGCTGAGGTGCGGCCTGGGGGGCATGGGGCCAGGTGGGTCAGCCCGCGGGCACAGCAGGCCTCCGCCCAGACAGCTCTCTGCGCTTCTCAACAGGCCCTTGCTGGACAAGTAAGAAGTGACTTTCTTCTGGATGATTCTAAAAGGTGTGTCTGCCCAGAGGAACGGAGGTCACAGAACAGTCAGCTGTGCCTGGGCGGTGCTGGGGACGTGTGGCATGTGTCCTTGTGTGTGGCATGTGGCGTTCTGCAGCCCGGGGTGGCGGCTTGCTGACCTGTGTGTCTTGTGTGTGGTGCATTGGCGCCGTGGGCGGGGTGGCGGCTTGCTGACCTGTGTGGCCCGCAGCCTGGTGTGCTGGCCATCCAGTGAAGGCACGCTTAGCTGGCCAGATCTCCTCAGCGACCCGTCCATCGTGGGCAGTGCCCTGCAGCAGCTGGCATGGAGTCAGACCGGCCAAGGGCTGGGCCAGGAGGAGGACAGCCCCCCTTCGCCTGCCAAGCACCTGTCAGCATCAGGTGAGCCCAGCAGGGTTCTAGCTCCCCCCCCCCCCCCCCCCGCTGGGCCTGCCTGACACGTCCCACTCCCTGCAGATGAAGACCTGATCCGGCAGGCCCTGGCTCCCACCCAGGACGCCCACTCAGACACGGACCTGCTCACCGGCCTGTGAGTGAGGCTCGGGGTGGGCGCTGGTGGGAGCTGTGCGGCCCAGGCCGACGGGCGGAGGGCAGGCGCCTGGTGCGGAGCATTCCCGCCTCTGCCCTGGGCTCCCGGCCGGCCAGTGACCGCAACTCCAGGGTAGGAGGTGGCAGGGCGTGCGGGTTGAGAGAGCAGACCAGCGGCCAGTCTGCAGGGGCTGAGCTGGGAAGCGCTTTTTGTGTTTTTACAAATTCCTGAGTTTGAACTCGAGGCTGGGTGCGAGATGCCCCTTGGTTTTCATTTTGAGAGTGTTTAATACTTGACCTTTAGCAGCATAGATCAGTTGCCTGGAGGGCTCGCCATGATACCTCCAATGCTGTACCCGTCTGGCGCTTCCTCGGCTCTCCCTCCCCCTCCCCCCCCGCCCCTCCCTTCCACCCCATGCATGCAGCCGCTGCCCCAGCCCAGGAGTGCGCTCTACTGTCCCGTGCTTCGTGCGCTTGCTGTTCGCATTGTAATGTAATTCTTAATTACATCATTGTACAGGAGGGGTTTCTTGGTCACGGTCACTCATATGCGCATACATTAGAATTACCAGTGTACTTCAATCATGGTTCCGGCCCTTACAGGTTTGTTTTTGGTGAAAGAACCAGAGCTTGAACTCAGGGCTCTGTTTGGCTTTGTTCTCACAGCTCGTGCTGTACCACTCGAGCCACACCTACATTCTGGCATTTTGCTAATAATTGGAGACAGTTTTTCAGTTTTCTGCCCAGGCTGACTTTGAATCGTAATCCTTAGGTATCAGCCTTCTGAGTCGGCAGGATTACAGGTGTGCGCCACAGGGGTCTAACTTGGTTGTGTCTGTGCGTGTGCGCCAGTCCTGAGAATTAAACTCAGGGCCTGGGCGCTGTCTGGGTGTCTGTTGCTCAAGGTTACCTTCTTGTGCTGCCTTGCTTTGCACCTGAACCACAGCTCCAGCTTTTTTGATTTATTGGAGAAAGAGCCTCATGGGCTTTCCTACTGGCTTTGCACTGTGATCTGTATAGATCTCAGCCTCCTGAGGAGCTAGGATTATAGACATGAGCCACCAGTGTCAGCCTGTTATTTTGTTTTTAAGGGTTTTTTCTTGTCAATGTGCCAGTCCTGGGACTTGAACTCAGGTTCTAAGTGCTGTCTCTGAGATTTCCTGCTCTAGACTAGCCATATACCACTTGAGCCCCAGCTCCACTTCTGGCTTTTGGGTGGTTAATTGGAGATGAGTCTCGTGGTGAGCGTGTAAATAGGAAAGCATGAGATGCTCAAGAAGCACCAGCGGCTCACGCCTGTGATTCTAACTACGCAGGAGGCTGAGACCTTAAGATTGCAGTTCGAAGCCAAGCACTGGCTCAAGGGAGAAAGCCTGGGCCTGAGCAGAAAGCCGCAGGCCCTGAGCTCCAGCCCGGAAGGCGCTGGCACCGTGTGGCGCTCACAGCTCTGCCCTGTGCCCAGGTCCAGCACGCCCGGGGAGAAGCCTGAGACGCTGCTGCTGCAGAGGCCGGGAGAGAAGCAGCTCCAGCCCGGCCCCAGTGGCGGGCAGCCCCCTCTGACCCGGCGCTCAGTGACAGGTGCGCTCGGGGGCCCGGGCCCAGCCCCCCCCCCGGCCGGCGGCCTCTGCAGCTGTCCTTTTGTCCCCAGGACCGGTGGAGGGCTTCCGCAAGCGGCTGCTGCCCTCCTGGTGTGCACCCCTTGCCCACGGGCTCAGCCTGCTCCTGGTGGCCGTGGCTGTGGGGGTCTCGGGGTGGGTCGGTGCCAGCTTCCCTCCCAGCGTGGGCCTCACGTGGCTGCTCTCGAGCAGCTGCAGCTTCCTGGCCTCGTTCCTCGGCTGGGAGCCACTTAAGGTGAGTGGGCGCATGGGGAGGGCCGTGCGGGGCCCAGCCTGCCTGCTGACGCCTCCCTCCCCCAGATCCTCCTGGAAGCCCTCTACTTCTCCCTGGTGGCCAAGCGGCTGCACCCGGAGGAGGATGACACCTTAGTGGAGAGCCCGGCTGTGACCCCCGTGAGCGAGCGCGTGCCCCGTGTGCGCCCCCCCCACGGCTTCGCCCTCTTCCTGGCCAAGGAGGAGGCCCGCAAGGTCAAGAAGCTGCACGGCATGCTCAGGGTGAGCCCTGCCATAAACCCTCCCCGACCCCTCCGCCCACTGCCCGTGGGGCCGGATGCTCCCTCACACCCCTGCTCCTGCCTGGCCTTCAGGGCCCCGGGCTCAGCTGCTTGCCCTCAGTGACCTTGCCTGCTCCCAGCAAGGCCCCGCCCTGGTGTCCGCCCCGAGCCCCGCCCTGGCACCGTGGCCGGGAGCGCCCACCACAGGCTTGCCCTGTCCCCAGAGCCTCTTGGTGTACATGCTCTTCCTGCTGGTGACGCTGCTGGCCAACTACGGGGATGCCGCGGGCCACGCCCACGCCTACCGGCTGCAGAGCGCCATCAAGCAGGAGCTGGACAGCCAGGCCTTCCTGGCCATCACCCGGTAGGACGCTCAGGGACCCACACACACGGGTGTCCCCCGGGGCAGGGTGGTCCCGACACCAGCCCAGCCTGACCGGGATGCGAGCCGCCGTACCGCTCCGCTCCACAGGCTCGGGACAGAAAGATGCGCCCCGCACAGTGGGCTGGGCTTTGTTCTGGGGCCTGGCAGCCTGCACTCGAGCTGGGCAGAGGAGCGGGGGGCTGGTGAGTAACTTCAGGCTGCCCGCAGGTCTGAGGAGTTCTGGCCGTGGATGACCGGCGTGCTGCTGCCGTCTGTCCACGGAGACGGGCCCGGCCCTGAGCTGGGGCCCCCGCGGTTACGGCAAGTGCGGCTGCAAGAAGGTGAGACGCGGCCCTCCCCTCCTCCTGGAGCTGCCGGGAGGGCTCTGGCCGCTGCTGACAGCAAACGCCCCTCATCCCGCCCTGGGCTCTGCCCGCCAGACCCTCTGCTCTGCACAGACGCGCCCGGCTCCGGGGCCCATGCGCACGCGTGCTCAGCTGCTGGAGGCTTCAGCACCAGTGACTACGGCGTTGGCTGGCAAAGCCCGGCTCACAACGGATCGGAGATGTGGGCCTACTCTGCGCCAGACCTGCTGGGGTAAGCGCAGAGGGCCGAGGCCCACGGGGGGCGGGCAGGCCCTCCTGAGTGCCCCACACGCAGCGTTCCCCCTCCCCGACAGCGCCTGGCACTGGGGCTCCTGCGCCGTGTATGACAGTGGTGGCTACGTTCAGGAGCTGGGCCTGAGCCTGGAGGAGAGCCAGAGACGGCTGGGCTTCCTCCAGCTGCACAACTGGCTGGACAGCAGGTGGGCCCAGCCAGAGCAGGTCCCCCCTCCCGCCCCAGCCCTGTGCGCCCCGTGTGGGTCCCCCACCCAGGCCAGGGGCCTTGCTGAGATGTCCGTGTGCAGGAGCCGTGCCGTGTTCGTGGAGCTGACCGGGTACAGCCCGGCTGTGGGGCTGCACGCTGCCGTCACGCTGGGCCTCGAGTTTCCTGCCGCCGGCCGGGCCCTGGCCACGCTCAGCATCCGGCCGTTCGCTCTGCCACGCGTCAGCAGCGGGCTGTCCCTGCCACTCCTCACCTCGGTAACAGCCGCCCCTGCAGGGTCCCCTCGGCATGCCCCAGGCCACACGTACAAACCCTTGATCCCCATCTCGTGGGGCCCCTGCCCCCCAGGTGAGCCTGCTGCTGTTTGCCCTCTACTTCCTGGCGGCCGAGGCGCGTGCATGGCGCAGGGAGGGGCTGGCGCGCGTGACCCGGCCCGGAGCCTGGGTGCGGTGGCTACTGGTGATCCTGACGGCGGCCGCAGCCCTCGTCCGCCTGGCCCAGCTGGGCGCAGCTGACCGCCAATGGGGCAGGTTCCTGAGGGGCCGGAGGGGCCGGTCTGTCCGCTTCACCAGCTTTGACCAGGTGGCCCAGCTGAGTGCCGCTGCCCGCGGCCTGGCTGCCTCACTGCTCTTCCTGCTCCTGCTCAAGGTGAGTTTGCTGGCCAGGGTGCGCCGGGCGCGAGGCTCCTGCTGGCAGCTGACCACACCCCGCACCCTCCGCAGGCCGCCCAGCAGCTGCGCTTCGTACGCCACTGGTCCATTTTTGGCAAGACACTGTGCCGGGCCCTGCCGGAGCTTTTGGGCGCCACCCTGGGCCTGGCTGTGCTCGGCGTGGCCTATGCCCAGCTGGCTGTTTCGGTAGGTGGCTGAGAGGACCTGCGGGATGGGGGGGCCTTGGCCGGAGCACCACCTCACTCCCCGCTTCCCACAGCTCGTCTCCTCCGGCATGGACTCCTTCCAGAACGCAGCCCGGGCCATCTGGGCCCTGTGCCGGGGAGCCAGAGTCCCCGCCCTGTGCCCGGTGGAGTCTTGGTACTTGTCCCCCCTGCTGTGTGGGGCGCTCTGGGCCCTGCGGGCATGGGGGGCCCTGAGGCTGGGGGCCGTCCTCCTGCTCTGGCGGTACCACGCGCTGCGCGGGGAGCTGTACCGCCCGGCCTGGGAGCCCCAGGACTACGAGATGGTGGAGCTCTTCCTGCGCAGGCTGCGCCTCTGGATGGGCTTCAGCAAGGTCAAGGAGGTGGGTACGGCCCAGAGGGGGGGAGAGGGACACACCTGGGCCACTGTGCCCAGGTGCAGCCGGACTGACCGAGCCCCTGTGCCGCCCCCAGTTCCGCCACAAGGTCCGCTTTGAAGGAATGGAGCCCCTGCCCTCGCGCTCGTCCCGGGCCTCCAAGTCCCCCCCGGCCGCCCCACCCCCCAGCGCCGGCTCAGAGGCCTCGCGCCCCTCCACCTCCTCCTCCAGCCAGCCCGACGGGCTGCGGAGAGAGCCCGAGCCTGAGCCCTCCCGCCTGCACTCCATGTTCGAGGCTCTGCTCATGCAGTTTGACAGACTCAACCAGGCCACAGAGGACGTCTACCAACTGGAGCAGCAGCTGCAGAGCCTTCAAGGCCAGAGGAACGGTCAGCCCCGGGCCTTGCCTCCCGCTGGCCGTGCCCCAGGCCCCCCGCGGGCCCTGGCCCCCTGCCTCGCCTGCCGGGCCTCGCGGGCTGTGGGCCCGGCTGCCAATCCCGGCAGGGTGTCCCTGTGGGGCAAGAACAAGGTCCACCCCAGCAGCACCTAGGCCCGGGGGCCTCGGGCAGGGCCCGTGGCTGTCCCCGGCCCCTCGGAAGCCAGGGCAGATACCCTACCGCTCAGTATTACCTACCTACCGGCGGCCCCGCCGCCCGCGGGCTTCAGCACTTTAGCGGCCGCCGGCCCGGCCGGCCAGCCAGCCAGGACGCGGCAGTGTTGGGCTGAGCGAGCAGCAGCCTCCGAGACGCTAATTTATTTCCCGAGTCCTCAGGTACAGTGGGCTGTGCCCAGCCGCCTCACCTGGCGAAGGATCCCATCCGGGGAGGGCTCAGCCGCACCCCGCTGCCACCCCCTAAGTTATTAATTACCTCTCCTGCCGCCCTGCACACGTCCCGTCCCCTGCGCGCACCGCCAGTAATTTATACGGGGTTCAGAGGTGTCTATTTTTGTATGTCGCTATTCTCTCGAGTGCGGAGGGACCTGACTTTATTTTCTTCTTCTCCGGCTGGGGGAGCTGCCGCTGCTTCTTGGATCCGAGTCTGGCCCTGAGGTGGGCCACCGTGGCCTTGCCCCCCTCCCCCCTGCTGGCAGCGAGCTGGCCGCCAGCACCCAGGCTTGCTGGTGTCGGGCCTGGACTAGGACGTGGTGAATGTGAAGCGAAGGGACGAGACCGGTCCTGGGGCTGGCTCCCAGGCCGGGCCGGCGTGAGTGCGTGAGGGCCCTGAGGAGCAGCACAGCCTTGACCCTGCCCCAGTTCCTCCAGACAAAGTCAAATAAAGGCGCTGCCTTGACGGCTACCTGTGCTGCTGCTCGTGCGCGGGCGGCACGGCCGGTTTATTTCGCTTGCTTATGGGGACAGGGTGCTGCGGGCAGCGCCTCACACAAACTCCGTGAAGTCGTCCACAGAGGAGATGAGGCGTTTCCGCTGGCCCGTCTCGTAGCTGGCTGTGGGCTCCGCGGGGACCGGGGCTTTGGTGTGGGTTGGGGGGTGCATCAGAGGCAGGCTGGGGCTGGAGTAGTGCATCTCCTCCCGGATCTGTGGGGAGACACTTGGGCAGCAAGCCCCGCCCATGCCGACCAGCTCTGAGGGGCTTCCTCCCCCCAAATCCCCTACAACCTTCCCATCCTACCCGCTGGCGCAGCCGCTTGATGTGGCGGAGCCGTGCGATCCACTTGGAGGGGTAGATTTCAGTGGGGTTGGAGCGGCTGTGGTGCACCTGTGAGGCCATCTGGGGACCACGAGGGGAGACGATGAGGCGCTTTGCACCACACCTGCCCCCCCTGCACACTCACGACTCACGTTGGCGTGCAGGGCCATCTGGCGGGCCACGAAGGGCAGGTTCCGGTCAGACACGATCTTAGCCACGCTAGTGTCCACAAGTCCCTCCATGTCTGGGGAGACACAGGCTCGCTCTGGGCTCACGCGAGCGCTCGTGCACGCGGCCCCTCCACCCCGGGGAGACACAGGCTCGCTCTGGGCTCACGCGAGCGCTCGTGCACGCGGCCCCTCCGCCCCGCCGGCCCAGGCCTCACCTTTCCTGCACTGCAGCGTCAGCAAGTTGCACTCATAGTCCAGCGGCGTGATGATCACATGGACAAAGTTGAACTGGCCCTGCCAAACAGAGGTCACATGACCCGAGTGTCCCTGCCTTTGTGGGTGTCCTCTGTGGCTGGGCCTGCTGCGGCTGACACAGCTGCACCGCCTTCTCAGGGCCGCCCACAGCGCCAGGCTGCGCTTCTTCCCAAAGCAGCAAGAGGCTCAATTCTTCCCGGAGCCTGCGCTCGGCCGCCCTGCATGCCCGCTGTCCCTGGCTGCCCTGGCACTCCCGGGCCCACGGATGGCTGCCTCACCGTCAGCATGCCCGGCACCCCGACCCAGGGGATGCCCACAGCTGCTCTCACCAGACACACGGCACGTACTGAGTGTACCAGCCTCCAAGTGACACTGGAGGACACCAGTGGGCACTGCGGCCCGCCTCGGCTGCTGGTGAGTGAGCGGCAGGATGGACGCGGTGGGGGACGCGGTGGCTCGGTGCCGGCCTGGGCGCAGGCGCCAGGGTGCCGCTCACCTTGATGGTGCCCAGCCGGAAGTCCTCCCCGGAGTCATTGTAGACAATGGAGACGAAGTCGTTGCCCAGGTGCCGCTTCTTATCGCAGCGGTGCTTGTCCACGTCCTTGGTGGGCATCAGTGTGGCGATGTGGAAGACAGCTGTGGAGTGCAAAGGCCAGGCTGGGTGCCAGGCAGGACCCTGGGCAGAGCAGTGTGAGGGGCCCGTGACGGGGCCGCGCCGGGCCCTCTGCTGCCCACCACCTGAGCCCTGCTGATGGCTCCGCCCAGACCAGAGCTCTGGGAGCGGGCCTCGTGCCCAAGCACTTCCACCCCAGACCTCCATCCAGACCCCAGAACCTCCACGAGCACAGCTGGCAAAGGCAGGCATCACGGCTGAGCACGGGGCTCATCCCTGTAATGCTAGCTGCTCGGGAGGCTGAGAGCTGAGGATCACAGACTGACACCATTACCAGAAGACAATCAGCAAGATTTTTTTTTGGCCAGTCCTGGGGCTCAGGGCCTGGGCGCTGTCCCTCAGCTTCTTTTGCACTACTTCCAGCTTTTTCTGTGTACGTGGTACCGAGGAACCAAACCCAGAGTTTCACACATGCTAGGCAAGCACTCTACCACATTCCTAGCCACAATCCTAGCCGATTAGTGAGATTCCAATTAAGCAGCAAAAAGAAGCGGTGTGTGGCTCCAATGGTAGTGCTACCCTTGAGCAAAACAGCTCAAGGACATGTGCACAGGCCCCGAGTTCAAGCCCCAGGACTGGCACAGAAAGCACAGCACGAATGGGAAGGGTGTGCCCTGGGAGGGGCGTCCGCACCTTGCATGATGTCATCATGCCAGCAGTAGGTGAACTGGCCGTCCTCACCGCACACGTCCAGGCCGCCCAGGTACACCTTGTCTGGCTGGCAGTCCTTGAGCTCGATGAGCCTGCCCAGGCCCGTCAGGAACTCGGTGTAGCGGTATGAGCCGTGCTCGTTGGACAGGATGGCCAGCTCGCTGCTGCTCTGTGGAGGCAGGCGGCAGTGGTGCTGACACAGCTGCTGGAGGCTCAGCCTCGTCTCCGCAGAGGCGTGGCTGCGCGGCTCCCCGGGGCCCGTGTCGCCCTCGCCTTCTGCCCCAGCCGGCCAGCTCCCGCTTTAAGCACACCCGGCACCCCAACACTGCTCGACAGCCTTGCGTGGGCCACAACCCCCGACCTCCACTGAGGCTGCACGGCAGCGAGACGCCTTCAGCACGCCGCTCGGCTTCACTCAGACGGCAGCGTGCCTTGCTGGCCCTGGCTGCCCACGACCCCACTCCCCCCGTGCCCGCATGCAGCATGAACATGCAGCTCAGTCCCTCCACGCACCAGGACTTGAGCTCAGAGCCGCGTGCTATTAGCTTTTTCCATTGACGGCCACATCTCCAGCCCCCAGTCCAACTTTCTGGCTGGCTACCCGGATATGTCTTGGCTTTTCTAACAAGCTGGCCTCAAACTGCGATCCTCAGGTTGAGATCCCAGCCCGGTCCCTCGAGTAGCTAGGATCGCAGACGTGAGCTACCAGCTCCAGACCTACACCGCTGCCTGGCCATGCCTGACCCGCAGGCCCACACCCCAGCCTACCACGGTTGTGCACCCGCTGGTGCGGGGGACCAGGGGCTGAGCTGTGGGAGGGGGTCCCGGCCCGGCCCGGCCCTGGAAGCCACAGCCTCACCTGGCCCTCCCCCACGTACAGGACGGCGATCTTGTGAGTGTCGTATGAGGGGATCTGGTCCAGGAGCTGCACTGATCGCTCGAAGGACTGCGGAGACATGGGGCGTGAGCAGGGGCGGGGCCACGCGGGGGGAGGGGCACGCCGCAGGGGGAGGCAGCTACCTCATTGGGCAGCAGAATGGGCTTGTTGGACTCGTCACCAAAAAAGGGCGAGTGGTACAGCTGCAGGAACACGAAGCTGCGGAGAGAAGCGGGGTGAGGACAGGAACGGGGTCCCGGGCCCCCACACGGAGGGCAGGAGCCGCAGCCACAGCTGAGAAGCTGGGCCCTGTTCCCCAGCCTGCTGTGCCCGCGGGGCTCGAGACCTGCCCCCAGCGGGCCTGGGTGCCTGCCCAGGAGACGGCCCACCTGGGGTTGATGCCTGGCACTTTCTCGGTTCCAGATGCCGTGGCTCTGCTCTTGAAGGCGTCCCGCTCCACCCGCTGGCCCCGGCGTGAAGGGGCTGAGTCGGAGATGGTGTAGCCACGGGGCCGCAGGCCGCTGGGCGACCGGGGGGAGCTGGAGGGCAGCGGGCCCTCGGGCGGGGCGGGGCCCTGGACCTCCTCACCCGGGGCTGACCAGGCCGCTCCTTCTCCGTCCAAAGTCCCGGACTGGGAGCGGGCCTTGGCCTCGGGGCTCAGGCGGCCGGCGTCGGCCTTGTCCCCAGGGTGGGCAAGGCTGTCCTGCAGGGTCTGCAGCTCGGGGGAGGAGCTGGACTTGCTCAGGGGCTGTGTGGGCTGGAAGGACAGGTCCACCAAGGGGCGGCCGCCCTCGGAAGACACGGCCCTCTCGATGGGGATGCCGCCGGCCACCAGCACCTCGGCGGGGCAGGCCTTCTCCTCCTGGCTGGAGGCTGAGGATGACTGTGGGATGGACAGTGCCCAGTGAGCAGGCGCTCAGCCCGTGGCCTGCTGCCCTGGTCCCGCCGCCAGGGCCCGAGCCGCCGACCCCAGGCCAGGTCGGTGGTGAAGGGAGGTTCGCCGCACCCGCGGGCAGTGTGGAGGCCAGGCACCCAGCACTCCCGCCCAGGACCCTACACACTCACCCTGCTGTAGGGGGCAGGGCGCCGGCTGAGCCTGTGCACACCTAGGGCGGCCTCAAAGTCCTCCAGCTCGGGGGGCTCTCCGGGTGCATGGGTCTGGCCCGGCCCTCCCTCCTCCAGAACCACGGCGGAGTCTGCGGGACACAGGAGGCCGCGGGTGTGAGTGGCCAGTGCCCTGCCGGCCTCGGGGCTCAGCTCCTCCCTGCCCAGCCGCAGCAGCTCCACTGTGGAGGCCCGGCAGGGGGCCGGGCAGGGCCTGACCAGCCCTGGGTGGGGCTTCCAGGCCCCAGGGACCGGTGGGTGCCCCAGGGGGACTGGGTAGCGTCCACCAGTGCCCCTCGGCACCTCGGGCAGGGCAGGCAGCAGAGAGCACGAGGAAGAGCCCGGGAGAACCCGGAAAAGGGCCCCGGCTCGGGAGGCGCTGACCGCGGCCAGTGTTTCCAGGATTTTGAATGGAGGAAGCTAGGGATGAGCGCCGTGTCTGCAAACTCATGCCTGCAGCGCGGCAGGCTGGGGAGAGGGGGCCAAGGTCCCAAGCCAGGGGCGGGCGGGCGGCCAAGCAGCAGTGGCCCTGCACGTGGCCTTGGACTCGCCCCCGCCACCCTGGCCCCTGAACCCACGCGAGACCCGCCAGTCAGGGCAGCTGGCAGGGCCGGGCGTACAATGCAAAGCAGCTACAACAATGCCCGCGGGTGCCTGAGGCCAGCGACCAGCAGAGGCCAGGGCAGGTCAGCCAGGCAGAGCCCACCCCGGCGGCCTGAGGCCGCACGCAGCTCAGGGGCAGAGCCCAGCCCCACAGGCTGCAAGTCCGGGGGCTCCCCCTGGTAAAGCAAAGGCTGCAAGTCCGGGGGCTCCCCCTGGTAAAGCAAAGGCTGCAGTCTGCACGGGTGTCCTCAACTCAGTCAGAACCCTGCTCCCCGAGGACGATGAGGCTCAGGACGGGGCCATGGAGGGATGACCG